GAGTAAAATGTTATTTCAGTCTTCTACCACCAGACCTTTTTATCATGTTAATTGAACAAACTGAGCCTTGATCTCTGATTTCATTACCAAGAGGTGACTTTGCTTCTATGTGAGGGCACTTGAACCTTTTGTATAAATGAGTCATCTTTTTTGATTCATCAAGACAATTTTGCATGCAAGAATAGTTATTTTACCTTTTATTTGACAGTTAGGGTCAACTTAGTGATGCATTAATAATTGTATAAAAAAAGAATTGGAAACTGGTTTTTATTAAATTTAAGTTGAAATCAACCCCCCTCCCACCCACCCCAGGTATTATTTATGGAGTGTGGCTTTCTATTCTTTTCCAAAACACCATTGTAGATCAGAATAATGAGCATAACATTTATATATCATCTTTCAAAATTTGTTCAATGTTGTGTTTTATAGCAATAGCATGTTAGCCATGATGGCTAGGTACCTTCCATAACAGCATCAGTCACTGCTTTTAGGTGGCCTCTCTTGGAACAACCAATCTGACTGGGCACTGGCTTGTTTGGTCTTAAATAGAACTTCAGATAAAAGACAGAACAAATTGTGTAATAAGATATTAATTGAGAGCCACTTCTATACTGGACTATACTACATGACAGGACTGAATTTGGCATTTAAACAAACACATTATGGAATGTGAATCTAAAACTTCAGTGAAAATTATTATTTTATCCAGTCGGTCCATTGAGCTCTGCTGGCTTCAGAGATGGAGTTCAGCAATAGCTCCAAGCACCTTAGTTACACCGCTTCTCAGGAGTACCAGTTGGGACATGATGAAAGAATTCAAGGCTTAAACCCCTCGAGGGCCTGTAAGTCACCATCCAGAAAGTTCCTGAAAGGGAAAGAACATGTTATAGTTTGGTCAATAGGAGCCTGAGAAGAAGGCTGCAGGGCAAGGAGAAGTTGAGGATTAAAATCTTTTAGAAACTTAAAGAATTGAATTACTATCCTAGGAAAGTTCCCATGAGAGGGAAAAAAAAAAAGAAGAGAGCGATAGAAAGAGGAGACTTTTCATCGTCTTTCAACCAGCAACCTTTTTTCCTAGGTCAGATTTCAGCTAAAGACTTGATGATAACCAGCCCTTATTACCCAAGATGTCATTGCTGTCCTATACACACAGAATTTTTTAGCATTCCAAGCTCCTGCCACAGTAGATTTGGATTCATACCAAGAGAAAGTGAAGGCTGGAACTGGAGGCTTCAAAATGAGATCAACTTTCCCATGGAACACTTTTTAGGGAAGGTAGCTGTTCCATTTTTCCAGCAAGAATAAACTTTTACTTTGAAATACATCTGAACTAGTGTAGTAGATGGATTTTCCAGTCATGTTGCCATTGCATTACTGTTAAGTTAATCAGCTGTTGAATTAATATTTATGTGAATTAAGATAATGTCTAAAAAGGCGTCAGTCTAGTTTAATGTTATTGGCACTGTCGAAAAGTCAAAAGTATAAACAAAGGACCTTGGCTAAGAATTTCTGAACAGAATAGATTCTAAAACAGAAACTTACAGTAGGGTATGATGTAAGAACTCAGATTTTAAGAATGTATATTTGTCTGCTTTACTTAACACAGCCAATTCAGAGCACTGGCTACTCTTTGCTGAGCCTACAGAAGTGAAGATCCTGTGTCCCTGGTGGCTGTGGGGACAGGGAATAGTCAATGAAGGGGAAAGGCTAACACCGTAGAAGGACTCCTATGACATTGTAGTTGGAGACCTATCCAGTTCTGAGCCCCTGCCTTCTCACCTGCTTTACACTGGAAGGCTTTGTGTAAAGTGATTTTTAGTGCCTCAAATCAGTGTGATGTGGAAAAGAGAGGTCCTTGATGTTACCCTAAAGGAAGCATGCAAGCAAGCAAGCAGAAGATGGCAAGGAGAGGAAGTGAGGGAGAGCACATTGAAACAAAGTCAGCTTAGTCATGTTTGTTCTTCATTGGTATTAGTCTGATCCCAGCCATGCCAGACCCTTATTCTTTCCTGGATTCTGTTGTTGGTAACACTTATGCCGAGAAATGACTGTCTTGTAGCCAGTCCAACACCGTGAGATAGGAAAAGCTCGTGAAGGAGGGTCTTCTCTTCCTTATATGGGAAGAGGTGTGGCTTTCTAAAGAGTAAGGCAGAAATCTCAATCCCCCTGATTCCTTTTACCAAGCAGCACCCAGGGAGCCCTCATGAAGCTGAGTGACCTGAACATTGGCACATGAGGTGATTTTTCAGTTTTGTGCAACAAATAATACATTTGAAAAATGTTGTAAGAGACCTGCTTTACAAGGGCATCAAAACATTCCCATGCAAAGACTCATAAAAAAAGGATATTTAAAATTTAAAAAGTACATGTTCAGTAATAAACTCCAAATCTGAAAGCTAGGAGAAGTGCTATACCAGGGATCTCTTGGTAGTCCCTGAGCTTTCCTAGTGTCCTTCCGTAGCAGTCTTAAGCCCTTCTCCTGCTTTGTGGCCTGTGGGTTATGATTGGTACTTTTGGCTATTCATCTGACTTACCAGCAGAAGATGGTAGTTTGGGACATCCTGGAATACATAGGTTTTTCAGTGTACCAGTGAAATGGGGATGCCAGGTATACTTCTAAGGACACAAGTTCAGTGGCTAGGGAGATGTCTCTGAGAGGGGAAAGGCTTGCTGGGCAATGATGGGCTCCTGCGTTTAGAACAGCTCTGAACCCACATAAAAGTCAAGTGTGATGGTGTACCACAGTAACCCAGCACAAGGATGGAGACAGGTGAATCCTGGGAGCTTGCTGGCTAGTCAGTGTGCCTATCTGAAATGACATGGTCTAGGTTCAGTGAGAGACTCTGCATCACAGTATAAAGCAGAGAAGCAACAAAGGAGCATGCCAGTTATCAAACTCTGCTTTTCAGCACACACAGGTAAGTTAATCCACATGGATATACCATTACCATCATAGAATACATACACACACACACACACACACACACACACACACACACACACACAGTGTGGAGGCTTTGGGAGAAACAAAACAAAACAGCAGAAACCCTAAGTTCAGTTAACCAGCATCCTGAATCCAGCTGTAAGATAACTCTCATAGCCTCCCTTCCTAGCCGTCTCTCTCTCTTAGGTCTTGGGTATTCTATCTTCTGAAGCCTGCTTCTACAGGGGTGGAACAGACGTGAGCTAGCCTTTCTGTCCAGGAATATTCCTTTGTAAAAGCTGGTTTCAAAACAAGCAAAGATGCCTTCATAGGAGGCAGTCAGTCATCTGTGAAGCTAGGGTGCTGGGATTTGAAATCGACAAAGGGAAGCAGACTTAGATTTTTCTCCAGAAGGTGACTTTCTGCTCATGGAGCTTCCATTCCCATTAATCTGGAGTTATCCTATAAAATGGAGAGAGAGAGAGAGAGAGAGAGAGGAAGAAAGCGACCCCATGGGTGGAACAGACGTGAGCTAGCCTTACTGTCCCGGAATAT